CGTATGATTAAAACGATGAGTGGGCCCGGTGACATTTTGCTTGACTCCAAAAGAGTTTATTAGGTCAGTAAACGCAAGTCCTAATGCATCATTTGTATTATCAACGTGAATGTTAAAATCTCCGACAATTAGCGCTTTATCAACAGTAACCAATAGGTCTGAGAGGAAATCTGCAAATTCTTTTAGGAAATCTGTATATGGCCCTGGTGGTCTATACACAGTAGCCAGAGCAAGAGATTAGATAGATTTCTTTTGCATATCTGACAGTGTAACATTAAGCCTAAGTATACTCTGGTATGGTGCTCACAGTTGTCCTGTTTGCTGAGTCATGTCGAGCGGGCCTCTTTAAACTCATTGCTAACTCAACAGTCTCACTCAAATATTTTATTCTCAAAGCAGAAGTTGTACAAATGGGGTAATAAACCTAGTAAATACCTAACCCACTTGACAAAATCGAAATTGTATTCACAATTCATTACTTCTATAGTCGATCTTAAGGGAGTGCAATCTTTTGATTCTTATATTATAAATAATATGTTTAAACAATTTTATTCTATGCTATATCAGCCTAATTATTCTTTTCAAATACATAATTCTATGGTATCATTCTTTGATCGCTTGACTCTTCCTGTTGTCTCAGCAGAACAGAGGGAATTTCTCAATGCTCCTATCACAAGAGAGGAAGCCATAATCGCACTCCATAGTTTAAAATCTGGTAAATCACCTGGGCCGGATGGCCTTGCATGTGAACTGTATAAAGAATTTGAGCACGTACTGTTAGACCCTCTCTTAGCCATGCTTAATCACTCATTTATGACCGATAGTCTACCCTCTTCACTTCGTGAAGCAAATATTTCTCTTATATTAAAAAAAGGCAAGGACCCAGAAAATTGCAGTTCCTATAGGCCCATTGCATTGTTAAACTCTGATTTAAAATTGTTATCTAAAATTTTAGCACTAAGATTGGAGAAGCTTCTACCGTTTATTATTAACGTAGACCAGACAGGGTTTATTAAAGGCAGAAGTTCCGCTCACAATGTTAGGCCGCTACTAAATATTATTGAGCTTTCCCATAATTTGAGTTTTAATTATATTATTTTGTCTCTAGATGCAGAGAAAGCTTTTGATTCTGTTGAGTGGCCTTATTTATTTTACACCTTAGGAAAATTTGGTCTTGGAGAATACTCTATACAGACCCTCTTGCTGCGGTCATTACTAATGGTCACAGATCTGACAATTTTCCTTTATTTCGGGGTACCAGACAGGGCTGCCCCCTCTCTCCATTGCTTTTTGCAATAGCAATAGAGCCATTTGCTCAGATTATAAGAGAGGAAGCGGCTGTGTCTGGGGTGTCTCTGAGAGGTAAGCAGCACAAAATCTCTTTATATGCGGACGACGGTGCTGCTCTTTCTTTCAGATCCAGAGGTGTCTGTGCCAAAAATTGTAGACCTTATTCAGGAGTTTGGGCAATTCTCCGGGTA